CTCTCAAGTTATGAGTTAACTTGTAGATTTCAAAAAGTAGCATAGATAACCCCAAAGGTTATAGTTCTATTGCCCCTTGGGACATTAACCAGTTTTGTCTATAATTTAGAAAACTAATTCTAGGCTGCCTTTCCTGTCTAACTGCATAAACCTCTGGTCATAAAATTCTCCTTTGAATCGGTTTTACATCCTCCCTCATAAATCAGTTACATTCAGTTACATGTGTAATTAACATGTGTTCATTCTATATTTGTATGAGAGTCATGTTCTTACCTTTTTCTTTCTTTCTTTTTTTTTTTTTTTTTGAAACAGAGTCTCACTCTGTCACCCTTGGCAGAGTGCGGTGGCATCAGAGCTCACAGCAACCTCAAACTCTTGGGCTTAAACGATTCTCTTGCCTCAGCCTCCCAAGTAGCTGGGACTACAGGCACTTGCCACAACTCCTGGCTTTTTTTCTTTTTTAGAGATGTGGTCTTTGGGCTGGGCACAATGGCTTACACCTATAATCTAAGCACTCTGGGAGGCTGAGGTGAGGATCCTTTGCATTCAGGAGTTCAAGACCAGCCTGAGCAAGAGCGAGAACTCATCACTATGAAAAATAGAAAAAAAATCACTTGGGTGTAATGGTGGGCATCTGTAGTCCCAGCTACTCCTGAGGCAGGAGGATTGCTTAAGCCCAGCCATGGCACTCTATTCAGGTGACAAAACAGGACTCTGTCTCAAAAAAACAAAACAAAACAAAAAAATTATACTTCGATAGCCCAACAATGTACTATGAGGGGGAAAAAGTAATTAGTGTCCTAGCGATTCATTGGAGGAAGGGAGAAGAAGAAGTCCAGGAAGATTTTCCAGAAAATATTCTACATAGAAAGACTTTCCAGAAAGGATCTTGAGATCTTGATCGTTGTGGGGATAGCTTCAGAAAACGGGAGCCTTTGAGGGCTGGGAGGGCATTTGTGCAGAAAAGGCACCTCGTAAGTGGGGAAGTAAATTGAACAAACCCGAAAGCCACAGGCCAGAGAGGATAATAAATCTCTGACACTAGCCACATGAAAGACTATAGATAACCTCCCACCTTCATCGGTTGTAAATTATCCAGATGAAAACCAGCAGTTGTTATGTATCTAAATTATTTTCGCTTTTATTTTATTCTTCTGTTGTTTTGTTTTTTCAACACAGAGGAAGTAAAAAGCACGGTTGCTTCAGTTTGCAGTTCAGCCTTTCTCGCATCTGCACCAGTCAGCCTGGGTGGTCTTTCATGGGTTTAGTTTAGAAAGGAAATGAAATGGTGCTCTTGGTCATAAAGGTTTTATTATTTTCCTGGGCTCTGCAGAGCAGCCCAGCGGGGAAAGCCTGCGCAGCGCACAACACAAGGGGTTTGGATTACCAGCGAGGCTTGTAACATATATAAAAGAAAAGATATTACTTGGCTTTGAAATGATTCTTTAGAACTCATGAATTTTTTATTCTGTAAATTAAAGAATACCAAGTATGATACTTGGAATTGGCAGAAAGCCACAGTATAGGAAATCTCTTCTGAAAAAAGAAAACCTTTATGCGTTTCCTTTTTTACCCCTGTTGGCGGTGCGGCTAGCATCTCTACTATGGAACCCCGCTTTAAAAAAAAAATTGTGGAGAACTACACATCCATAGATGGGTGGCCTTGAGGGAGTTTACATTGTTGTGTGACCGTCACCACCATCCATCTGCAGAACCCTCTTCATCTTATAAAACTGAAACTCTCATAAGAGGGACTTTATCTAACAAATGCAATCGGTATAACCTGGTTTCTTGTACCCTCAACGAATCCCCAACAATAATAAATAAATAAATACTTAATCTCTATGCTCCTCTAACTCCCTACTCTCTACTACTCCAGCCCCTGGCAACCACCAATCCAGTCAAATACATTTTGACTATTTTAGATACTGCAAATAAGTGAAATCATGCAGTATTTGTATTTCTGTGTCTGGCTTATTTCACTTAGTGTACTGTCTCCCAGGTTCATCTGTGTTATAGCATGCATCAGAATTTCCTTTCTTTTATTTTTTTTTTTTGAGACAGAGTCTCACTGTCACCCCGGGTAGAGTGCTGTGGCATCATAGCTCACAGCAACTTCAAACTCTTGGGCTCAAGAGTTCCTCCTGCCTCAGCCTCTCCAATAGCTGGAACTACAGTCATCTGCCACAATACTCAGCTAGTTTTTTCTATTTTTAGTAGACATGGGGGCTTGCTCTTGCTCAGGCTGGTCTCAAACTCCTGACCTGAAGTATTTCACCTGCCCCAGCCTTCCAGAAGAATTTCCTCCCTTCCTAAGGCTAAGTGATACTCCATAGTATGTGTACACCACATTTTCTTTATTTATTCATACACAGAAGAAACAGAGGACAAGTGGGTTTCTTCTATCCTTTCTGATTAGTACCATCATGAATACAGGTATACAAAGATTGGCACATGACTTTTTAAATGCCCCCCTTTTTCTGTTCTCACTCTGTTGTCCCAGGCTAGAGTGCTATGTCGTCTTAGCTCACAGCAACTTCCAACTCCTGGGCTTAAGTGATCCTTTTGGCTCAGCCTTGAAAGTAGCTAGGACTGCAGGCACCCACCACAACACCCAGCTAATTTTTCTAGTTTTAGTAGAGATAGAGGATCTTGCTTTTGCTCAGGCTCATCCCCAACTCCTCAGCTTAAGCAATCCTCCCTCCTTGGCCTCCCGAGTGCTAGGTTACAGGCTTGAGCTACTGTGCCTTTAAATGATAACTTTTAAAAAATGATAGGGAGCCAGGGGGAGTGACACATGCCTGTAGTCCCAGCTACTGGGAGGGCTGAGGCAAGAGGATTGCTCAGGCTCAAGAGTTTGAGGTTGCTATGAGCTATGACACATTGGCACTCTATTCCGGATGAGAGTGAGATTCTCTCTCAAAATAAATAAAATAAATGACAGGCCCTGTCCAAAGACTGGAATATGTTCATGATTCCTCAGTCACACAAGGGACTTTGGAAAACATTTTGTACAGTCCTAATCCTAATCAGCCTTCTACCCATTTTCATGATGTCATAGCTGCGTTCAGCATCTCAATATAGTACTTCTGTTTACTTCAGATCTAATCTGCATTGCTATAAATTACTGGCTGATTTGGGTGATGTAGGGGGAAGCTACTGCAGTCTGGCTGGCATTGTTCCCAATTTCCCATACCCTTGCTGGCATCAGCCTCAGCCCTGACTACAGGAAGTGGGCAGGTTATGAAGCCAAAACAATCAGATTATTTTCCCTAGGAATCTGAAAAAAAAAAATTATTGGAAGGCAAGATCCCAGATAGAAGCTTCTCACGGGCCTCTGCCACTGTTGTTCCCAGCCCTGTCCTGGTTCCTGCTTTTAATTCTGGCAGCTGCTCAATGTCACTGAAATAACCTTTTCCGGCTTACACTCATGAGTCAAATTCTATTGTTTTCTACCAAAGAACATCAGCTGATGAACTATTCAAAGCTGGTGCTTGAATTTCTTCAAGAAATATAGGAATATCATAAAACTCATTCAACATAAAAATGATCTAGTTTATTACAGTCCATTTCTTTTAGCACGTGCTGACAGCTATTTTTAAAACATGTCATAACCGGAAGAAGATCTGTTCCCTATTTTCCTCTGATCTCCACGATGCCTCTGACTTTGCTTCTATCTCTCAGAGGAGAAAGAGGAGCAGAAAGAAGAATGAAACAAGGAAACAGAAGAGATGGATGCTATACAGTCGGATCCTCAATGGTATAAAAATGTGGAAACTTCTGGCTTGGCACCGGTAGCACAGTGGTTACAGCACCAGCCACATACACCAAGGGTGGCAGGTTCAAACCCAGCCCGGGCCTGCCAAACAACAATGATAACTACAGCCAAAAAATAGCCGATTGTTGTGGTGGTCACCTGTGGTCCCAGCTACTTGGGAGGCTGAGGCAAGAAAATTGCTTAATCCCAAGAGTTTGAGGTTGTTGTGAGCTGTGATGCCACAGCACTCTACCAACGGCAATCTAGTGAGACTCTTCCCCCCACTCCCAAAATGTGGAAACTTCCAAAAGAGGATCTGTTTCTGCTCCTGGAAACAGAGCAAAACATTTCTAATTCAGTGCTTGATTTGCTGTCTTCGGCTTCCAGCATAACCTCAAAGACAAGATCTGCTTGGGTTGGAAAGTTAGCCTCATCGGAGGGAGAATAATTGTGTTTGCACTTTCCATTATTTGCTTGTGTGTTTTCTTAAGTGGGGGAATTTCTCCAGAGTCAGAAATTCTCTAAGTTCTCTAAAAAACGTCTCTCTTTTGAGCCACAGCTCTGTGAGCAATTTCTTTGAAAAGGCGCCTCTGGATGTTCTTTCTCAAAGAGCTTTAAAATGTGGTGCTGGTCTCTTTTTTTCTGAACCACATCAAAGAGCACAGATTGTTTCCTTTCTGAGAACAAAACTCTTTAATGACAAGAAAGAACAAGAAACCGAGCAGCCAACCATCCCTATCAGGAAAGACAGTAACCCTAACTATGACAAATGATCCGACTCTGCAGTCTCTAGTCACTTTTTGAAATTTAAGCACAATATAACAACCATACCCCAGCATATGTGTTCCTAAAATGCAAGCACACTTTCTGGCTCTAAATGCTCTTTGCGAACCTGTATTCATAATTAATTCTCACAGGGCAGTCTCATGCCTATCAAATATGGAGCATGAAATATTTAGCAAAAATTACAAGTTGCTAGTAAAATGACAAATAGCAAAATTATAAATGTTCTTCTTCTTTGATTAAGCAATACTATTTGTAGGACTTTATCCTACATATATATATATATGTGTGGGATTTTTTTTGTTTGTTTTGAGACAGAGTCTCACTATGTCATCCTTGGTAGACACAGCTCACAGCAACCTCAAACTCTTGGGCTTAAGCTATTCACTTGCCTTAGCGTCCCAAGTAGCTGGGACTACAGGCGCCCGCCCCAACACCTGGCTGTTTGGTTTTTTTTTCACATCAGACGGGTAATGTGCTGTCGTAACAAGATTTGTGGGAGGCACATCTCACACATGCGCATGAAAACCCAATCATTACACTTATGAACTACAAAAGGATCACCTGGCTGTTTTTTTGTAGTTGTTGTAGTTGTCGTTGTTTAGCAGGCCCAGGCTGGGTTCGAACCTGTCAGCCCCAGTGTATGTGGCTGGCGCTCTAACCACTGAATTACAGGCACTGAGCCTGTGTGGGCTTTTTTTGGTGTGTGCATGTATATGTGAAAAATGATAGATGTAAAGATTGTTATTATTATTATTTTTTTTTTGCAGTTTTTGGCTGGGGCTGGGTTTGAACCTGCCACCTCCGGCATATGAGGCTGGTGCCCTACTCCTTTGAGCCACAGGCGCCACCCAGATATAATTTGTTGCACCATTTTCTTTTTGAGATACAATCTCACTCTGTTGCCCCATGCTAGAGTGCCCTGGAGTCAGCTTTGCTCATAGCAACCTCAATCTTCTGGGCTCAAGCAATCCTCCCAAGTAGCTGGGACTACAGATGCCTCCCACCACACCAGCTAATTTTTCTTTTCTCTTTTCTCTCTTCCTCTTTCCTCCTCCTCCTCTTCTTCCTTTTCCTCCTCCCCTTCCTCTTCCTCTTCTTCCTTTTTTTTTTGAGACTGAGTCTCACTCTGTCCCCTTGGGTAGAGTGCTGTGCCACCATGGCTCACAGCAACATCAAGCTCTTGGGCTCAAGCAACTCTCTTGCTTCAACCTCCCACGTAGCTGGGACTACAGTCACGCACCATGATGCCTGGCTATTTTTAGAGATGGGATGCTACTGTTGCTCAGGCTGGCCTAGAACTCCTAATCTCAAGTAATCCTCCTGCCTCAGTTTCCCAGAGTGCTAGGATTACAGATGTGAGTCACCTCTCCTGGTCTTTTTTTTTTTTGAGACAAAGTATCACTCAGTTACCTTTGGTAGAGTATCGTGGAATCATAACTCACAACAACCTCAAAGTCTTTTTTTTTTTTTTTTTTTTTTAGACAGAGCCTCAAGCTCTCCCCCTGGGTAGCGTGCCGTGGCATTACAGCTCACAGCAACCTCCAACTCCTGGGCTCAAGCGAGTCTCCTGCCTCCGCCTCCCAAGTAGCTGGGACCACAGGCGCCCGCCACAACGCCCGGCTATTTTTTGGTTGCAGCCGTCATTGTTGTTTGGCGGGTCCGGGCTGGGGATTCGAACCCGCCACCTTAGGTGTACGTGGCTGGCGCCTTAGCCGGTTGAGCTATAGGTGCCGAGCCAACCTCAAAGTCTTAGGCCTGAGCAATCCTCTTGCCTCAGCCTCCCAAGTAGCTGGGACTACAGGTGTGCACCACCACACCTAGCTAAATTTCTATTTTTAGTAGAGACAGGCTCTTGCTCTTGCTCAGGTGGGTCTTGAACTCCTGAGCTCAAGCCATCTGCCAGCCTTGGCCTCTCAGAGTGCTAGGATCACAGGCACTGTGCTGGGCCAAGTTAGCATCTATTACATTTTCATTTGCTTAAAAAAGGGAAAAAATGAATTATTTTTATTTATTTATTTTTTGTAGAGACAAGAATCTCCCTTTATTGCCCTACCATGTTTCCCTAAAAATAAGACCTACCCAAAAAATAAGCCTTAGCAGGATTTCTATGCATTTGTTAAATATAAGCCCTACCCTGATAATAAGACTTAGTGATGGGTCCATGCATTTCGGAGCTGACCGGTAAGGAAGACTGGAATACCTTTTATCTGCCACAGCTCCTTTCTCCCAGCCATTGGCACTTGCATGGGTGCACGTGTGGTCACCGTGGTCGCAGGCAGCCTATTGCACACGTGCGAATGGCTAGGGGAAAGGAGTTCACGCATCACTAGCACCAGCCCCACCAACAAGGTCGGCTCCCCCTGTCAGGTTCCAGAAGATGACAACTTAACTGTATTTGAATAAATGTAGATTGTTGTATTATGCTTAATAAAAATGAGACATCCCCTGAAAATAAGCCCTAGTGTGTCTTCTAGAGAAAAAATAAATATAAGAAAGTGTCTTATTTTCGGGGAAACACGGTAAGTAGAGTGCCATGGTGTCACACAGCTCACAGCAACCTCAAACTCCTGGGCTTAGGCAATTCTCTTGTCTCAGCCTCCCAAGTAGCTGGGACTACAGGTGCCCACCACAACATCTAGCTATTTTTTTGTTGTTATTGCAGTTTGGCCAGGGCCAGGCTTGAACCGGCCACCCTCAGCATATGGGGCCGGTGCCCTAACCACCGAACCATAGGCGCTGCCCAAGTGAATTATTTTTAAATGCTAAGACTGTCTCTAGAAGGATTCCCAAGAAAATAGTGTCCATGGCTATGTTAGGATGGGAACTGGGTGTACCTTTTCGACCATTCAAACTTTATATTTTGTAACTGTGTTATCTATTCACAAATACATAAGCTGAATCGCATTTTAGAAATAATCCTCACAGGCCGGGTGTGGTGGTTCACACCTATAAACCTAGCACACTGGGAGGCTGAGGAGGGTGGATTGCCTGAGCTCAGGAGTTGGAGACCAGCCTGAGCAAAATTGAGACCTCCCGTCTCTACTGAAAATAGATATTCTGAGGCAAGAGGATCGGTTAAGCCCAAGAGTTGGAGGTTGCTGTGAGCTATGATGCCATGGCACTCTACCAGGGTAGACAGCTTGAGTCTATGTCTCAAAAAAAAAGAATAAAGAATCCTCACAACTACTACTTTGAAAGGAATAGGTTAAAACGATTAGGAATAATGATCTCCTTTTCTCCTTTATTATCCACCCTCAAAGGCTAACGGAGTTTGAGAGAAAAGTGCATGAGGAGACTGTAAAAAAGGATCAGAATACCAGTTTTTAGGCAGGCCCTTCCTTTCTGTGTAGCCTAGACATGGAGCTATGACTTTCTGACTGGGGGGGAGTTAAGAGAGGCAAGAGTTCTTATCACTTACTGGAAGTAAATGGTGTCTACACTGGGCACGGTGGCTCACACCTGTAATCCGAGCACTCTGAGAGATGGAGGCAAGAGGATTGCTTGAGGCCAGGAGTTTGAGACCAGCCTGAGCAAGAGGGAGATCCCCTGTCTTTGCAAAAAATAGAAAAATTAGCCGGGTGTTATGGTGGGTGGCTGGAGTCCCAGCTACATGGGAGGCTGAGGCAGCAGGATGACTTGAGCCCAGGAGTTTGAGGTCGCTATGAGCTATGATGTTGCCACAGCACTCTAACCTGGGAGACAGAACAAGATCTTGTCTCAAAAAAAAGGTAAATAATCATCACCCACACATTCATCCATCCATGCAATACTTTATCTTTTTTTTTTTTTTTTTTTTTAGATGGAGCCTCAAGCTATCCCCCTGGGTAGAGTGCCATGGCATCACAGTTCACAGCAACCTCCAACTCCTGGGCTCAAGTGAGTCTCTTGCCTCAGCCTCCCAAGTAGCTGGGACTACAGGTGCCTGCAGCAACGCCCAGCTATTTTTTGGTTGCAGCCGTCATTGTTGTTTGGCGGGCCTAGGCTGGATTCGAACCTGCCAGCTCAGGTGTATGTGCCTGGCACCCTAGCCGCTTGAGCCACAGGTGCCGAGCCAATACTTTATCTTTTTAATGTGTAGAATACCAGTGCACATGCAACATTTTAATAAAACATGGTGAAGATTTAACATGTGACAGGCACAGTGTCTCTGCTTTTTTTTTTAGACAGAGTCTCATTTTATTGCCCTTGGTAGAGTGTGGCAGGAGAGAGCACCCAGGTGGTTAAGGAGAATTGAGTGTGTTGGATGTGACATTCTCAGTCCCACTGCCCACACTGCCACAGCCTCCTTGTGAGCAAGCAGCCTGCAGGTTCCTGTGCAAAGGTCATCCAAGGTAGAGACAAATACGTTGGATCTCCTGAGGGAGAAGGTGATTAATTTGGGGTAGAGGTTGGTGGGGATCAACCAATGTGACACTGGAATTTGGACTTGAGGAGGGTATGATTTCATAAGGCAGAGAAGGACATGCTACAAAGAATGAGAACTATTCGTGAGAATCTCAGAGTTCAGGTTGCTGTGAGTTGTGATCACTTCACAGCACTCTACCTAGTGTTTCAAAAAGGAAAGAAGGAAGGAAAGAAGGGAGGGAAGGAGGGAGGAAGGAGGGAAAGATCAGTAACAAGGAAGGGTGGTAGTTTGTAGCTGTGGGGCGCCTGGAGGCAGACTGAAAGTTGGACAGTCCATGAAGGAGCTACTGCGACAATCTGGAGAAGCAGCTAGAGCGTGTGAATGCTTCCTGTGGACACGGGAAGGGGAGGAGAGAGAAGCGACTGGACATGGCAGAACTGTGAGAGGACGTGATCACTCCAGGATGTGCAGCTCTGACGACAGAGCCAGAGAACACTGGAGAAGCAGCAAGCTGGAGGGGAGAAGGACTTATTTTGATTTCGGTTGTGTTGAGTCTGGAGTGTCTGTGAAACAGCCCAAGGGAGAGGGCGGCAGGAAGTTCTATCTGCAGATGTGCACCTCAGGAGAGACGGCTGGGAATATTGTTTATATGTCACTATCACACATTATCCGTTGATTTACTAATTAGTATTGGTATAATTTGTCCCCAGGAGGGGGAGGGGAATGACTCTGGAAAAGAATGAGAACTAGTAGTTTATTTATTTATTTAAGTTGTTCCCTCCCTGCTGAGAAATATTCAAAACTTGTTTCTTACTCTCAGTGTAATTGAGGGTAACCGGGCATTTCTATTATTAATGGTGACTCACTGTGTGTCACTGGGAGGGGGAAGTCAGAGTCCCAGATGGACAGCCTAATTCAAATACCAGATCACGGCGACGGAGCCCTACCTCTCAGTGTCTTATGTTCAAAACCCAGGAGTGCCGGCTGATAAGAGAAGAGCAAACCCAAGAAAGAGATTGGGCAAAAGTCCTATTTATAGGGTGGCAACAGAAAAAACTAGTAAACAAATTGAAGCAGGTGTACAAGAGAACAGAGGATCCAGAAAGCAGGGAAGCACAAAAGCCAGGAGTGAAGGGGACAGCAGAGTCACGTGCCATAGAGGACGAAGGCCAGGCGCGACAGGTGTCGTGGGAACATTCCAGCACCTTAGTAG